AAGCGATTTGTGCACCTGTGTGGGATCCACCTCGCCCTGTATGATGTTTAGTATTGATATGTAGCAGTGATGATTAGTTTTGTCAGGGCCTGTCGACACCATCATGTTCTTTGGCTGAAGGAGACGCCGCATCACATCCAACACGGTGGTCTTCCGAACGTTAACGGCCTGGTGCGAAGACAATGGATTATGCTAAAAGTAATTATGTTACGATTTACAGCGAAGTTATAGTAAACATTATTGCCATTTTCTATTTAAATTCGGACACGCAATCAAGACAGATGTCCGGTCAAATTCTAACTGGCTGGAAGTAATACAGTACACTTACATGATTGCTAAGATTAGCATCACTGGTCAGCGGTGTGTAGCCAGTCATCAGAAAGTGCAGTTGTGGTGTTGGAATTAATGGCGCCGTCAGGCCAATGAGATTATTGTTCATATAGGATGGATAGCGCAGAGTTGTTGTGCTAACACTCATTATGGTTGAGACTAGAGTATTAATTTGTGTAAAGGTTGGGTTTTGTATGTGCAAACGATCGCAGGCAATGCGATTGAGAGCCGTATTGTCCAGCACGACAACACTGTCTGCAGCAGTGGTCAGGCGGCGAAGCGTGAGCATCGAGTTGTAGGGTTGTACGACAACGTCGCTTATTTCATCTTGATTTGGAAAAACGCTGTAAGTTTGGATAAGTTTTTTGGGATAACGATCTGCCAGGCGTTCCATAAGAAATGATCCCATTCCCGACCCAGTGCCACCTGCTATCGAATGACAAAGCACAAAACCTTCAAGCGAATCGCTTCCGTCTGCCTCGCGATCGATTATATCAAAGATTTCCTCCTGCAATTTATCTCCCTGGCTATAGCCAGAAGCCCAGTTGTTGCCGGCACCGCCGCCATGTTTAGACAAGTACACGTTCTCAGGATTGTACAGCTAACCAAAAACAGATTTGTTTTTTTCTTTTAAACTTTAAGAAGCTTTTCCGTTGGCTACTTACCTTGGAATAAGCCGATGTCATAATGGTGTTAATAACGCGAGGCTCTAAATCCAGCAACACTGCCCGCGGTATATAATGATCATCATCCGCCTGATAGAAGAAAACATCTTTTCTATCCATGCCATCGGTGGCAAATTCTTCAAGAACGCCGCTCGGTGAGATGCCATGTTCTAAGCAGAGCCGCTTCCAAAACTCAAAGCCAACTAAAAAATGTTATATGATGTCACAAATTAAAAGACCGCAACAATCTACAAATTGTACCCACTTTGATTGCCGCATTGCCCCAGCTGCAGCGTAATTATTTCGCTTGGCATTTTTGCGAGATGCTGTTTCGATGATGAGTGCTGATGCAAATCCACTTAATAATTTGAGCTGACTTGTGCGCTTTGTTGTTTAATGCTGCTTAGCGCAGTTTAATTTATACGCTCATTACACCAAAAACACTTAAAATTGTTGCCAAAACGAATTATTTATAGGTAAAAACTTAAATAAAAGATGCAGCGGGTAGTGCTGAAAAAACAATCGATGACACAATCGATGTTATCGGTAGTTGGCTTGCCGTGACTGTTTCCAGATTCATTTTTTGTATATATCGATATCGCCCTTTCACAAGGACTGGTATGCAAATCACAATGGCTATTGTTTGTTATTTAATTTTATTTTTTTAAATAAAGTACTTGTGTATATTACTTGACAGCATAAATGTAGAACCGAAAAATATTCCATGAAGGAAAACCACATTTTTCAAGCAAACTTGAGGAGAAAAACCCTATTTAGAAGTCAATTATTTATTTCTTCAAATTCTGCAATCGGTTATATCGATGGTTTTGCTGCCAACTTCACGCGGGCTAAAAAAAGGTGCCGGCTTGGGATGGCATTGCCATTGCCCGCGCAGAGCTAATGGTCGGTTGTTTTTGGCATTGGCCGCATTTTAAAAGTAAGCAGAAAGCGATAAACATTGTTGGAAATTTCGTGATCAAAATATTGAACGACAACAACAACAATCTTGTCGAATTCAAAAAAAGAATTGTTTAAATATGCCTCGCGCGAAAGTTGCAAAAAAAACAACACCGTCGGAATTGCCCGTAACAAATGGCAACGATGCTTCATCCTCGACTGTAACAGAAGAGGGGGCCGCTAACGTCGCAAATGATACTAAACCGGCACCCAAAAGCAAAGCGCGCGGCAAGAAAATGCCAGCTGCTACGGCTGCTGGGGAAGTAAATGATGCACAAGAAATTGAAGTTGTTGCAAAAAAGCCGGCGGTGCGGACCAAAAGAAAGCCCGCTGAAAAGGTAGAAGTCATTGTGGAAGACACAGAGCCGCCTAAGCCAAGAGGTCGCGCCAAGAAATTGGCTACAGAGGTCAATGACGAACCGAAAACTAAGGCAACAAAGCCACGCTCCAAAAAAGAGAAAACCTTAGCACCGGAAGAGCCTGAAGTAACTAAAGGACGCGCCAAGAAAGAAAAAACATCCCTAAACGAGGAGGCCGCTATCGCTGCCGCACCAACCAAGGAGGCAGACACAAAAGCGCGCGGACGCAAAAAGGAGCCAGAGAAAAATATTGTTACCGAGTCAGCCGAACAAGCCGAGCAAGTGAAGGGACGTGCTAAAAAGGAATTGACTGCGCCTGGGACCAAGGGCAGAGCTAAAAAGGCCGTTGCAGTCGGCGTTGAAGAATCAACAATAAAAACAGCAACAACAAAACGTGCGCGCGGTACGAAGCGTTTGGCAGACACAGAAATCGCTGAGGTGCTAGAGGCAGAGGACGATCCAGAGCCAGAATCGGAAACACAGGTAGCAAACAAGAAGCGCACCAAGCAAGCAAAGGGCAACAATGAAAATGTTGAGGTTCCGGCCAAAAAGCGCGGCAAGAAAGCAGCAACTAATCAGCCACCGGAGGATCTGCCAAGTGTGGATGTCCCAGCAACCAGCAAAAAGCGTACGCAAAAGAGAGTCAACGAGAATATAGAGCTGGCGGAACTAAACGTGCCAGCGAGCAAACCAGGTATGTACAAAAAAATTGCACATTCTAGCAAGCTTCCAGATAGCCGTTTTTATTTTGCAGCACGCGGCCGAAAGCGACCAGCTGCAGGCGCTGAAGAGAATGGTAATGCCGTTTCAGCCGATGCAGCTGACGGCTCAAGAAGTACGTTGATGGAGCCCGGCTGTGGCGGTGCGGTATTGAAAAGTTTGCAAAATGTGCTTAACTTTTGTTTTCCAGCGTCCAAGGCCAAAAAAGCAGCAACACAAAAGGTGGAGGCAGAGTCTGCTGAAAGTTATGAGAAAAGTCTATTCACGTCGCCAACGGACAAGCCATTCAACTTGAAAATCTCTAGCTGGAATGTGGCTGGTTTGCGCGCCTGGTTGAAGAAAGATGGTCTAAAGTTTGTGGATTTTGAAGAGCCTGACATATTTTGTTTACAGGTATTACCATATACAAATTTATATCAAAGAGTATCAAAAAAAACCTATTTAACAAATATAACAACTCACTTGCAGGAAACCAAATGCGTTAACGATCAGCTACCCGATGAGATGACGCGTCTGCCCGGATACCATCCATACTGGCTCTGCATGCCCGGCGGCTATGCGGGCGTGGCCATCTACAGCAAAATAATGCCCATAAATGTGGAATATGGCATTGGCAATCAGGAGTTTGATGATGTAGGACGCATGATCACCGCCGAGTATGAGAAATTCTATTTAATCAATGTGTATGTGCCGAATTCGGGTCGCAAGCTGGTTAACTTGGAGATGCGCATGCGCTGGGAGCAACTTTTCCAGGCGTATGTACAAAAATTGGATGCACTAAAGCCCGTTGTCATTTGTGGCGACATGAATGTTTCGCATACAGAGATTGATTTGGCTAATCCAAAGAATAACACACGCAACGCTGGATTCACCAAGGAGGAGCGTGAGAAGATGACTGATTTACTGGCCCTTGGGTATGTGGATACCTTCAGGCACTTGTACCCGGAGCGCACCAGTGCGTACACCTTCTGGACCTACATGTCCAATGCGCGTGCCCGAAACGTTGGCTGGCGTTTGGATTACTGCATTGTCTCGGAGCGTTTTGTCTCCCGCATCGTGGACAATGTGATGCGCAGCCATTGCCTGGGCAGCGATCATTGTCCCATAACTGTCTTTCTAAATGTTTAAGCATCAATACATGCATAATTACATGCATTTATAAATTGTTTTCATTTCAATTAAATTTATTTTTTCTTTTCCCAACGTTTTTTTAAATTGTGCCCCATTGTTTGTGTTTGTAATAGTTATTTATGAGCAGTATTACGTGTGTCCTTTCTGGCGTTAATCACGCACGTATTGCTATCCTTTTTTTGTTATAATTGAATATTCATTACAAATATTCCATTTATGCCTAAATGCCTAAACATTCGATTACATTTTGTATTTCAATAAAGTATAACACAACTAAGTACTATAAAATGTGGATACGCTGTTTAATTTCACTTATTTCGACAATTTTATGGCAGTTTAAGCACGGTTATTGTCCATTATGGCATTTAACTGTACTTAGCGTTTAATGGCATATAAAAATGTTGCAAAAATGTACAGACTTATGGGTATATGACTTATTAGGAAGATGGGGATGTAAGTTAGATACAAGATACCCAAATCTGAGATAGAAGAGAAAAAGATTCGCTTTGAATAACGATGAAGAAAAGATTAAAAAACATGCTTAATCCAGAGAAGTATCGTTATTTTGAAATGTCATTAAAAATGCAAACAAGTTAAATTGAAGAATATGCATATTTTCATTTTATAATCAAATTGATCATTTATTTTTATTATATTCAGTCAATTAAAACGAATTACTCTCGGATATAGGGGCGCAGTAACGGTAATAATAATGGTTATACTTCCGCCTTTATTTATTGTATTGAATGTTGGTTTTTTTTATTTTTTTATGTTAAGCGCTTTAGTTGGCATTGTTTTATGCTTTAGAATTTGAATTAATTATGTAATATTTTTACAAAGCTGCCCCAGTTTATTTCGTGTGTTGATTTAGTTAATATATGTATATGAAAAATTAACCGCTCGTTTTAAATTGAAGTTTTTGTTTTTGTAAAAAATAGTTAGCTGTCCGCAGAAGAAAGGCGTTATTGCATTCATATTCAGGCCCCGACCACGGTATTTGTGTCTGGTACCCACCCGGTCATCGGCATGTGCCCCAATCAGGGAGTCGAGCGTAGCCTCTTGCCCGACTGCCACATTGCCAATCGCGTGTTCATGTACTCGGTACTGCACTCTTTGCAGTCCGAGGAGCGACGCAGCGAGGAGGTGGACGCTCAGTTACGTGATCGCTATGAGGTATTCCGCCAGGTGCTGCACAACTTTCCCATTCCGCTCCATGCTAGGCCCGAGGGCACCTATGACTATGACTACGTGTATGACGCACTGCAACAGCAGCGCCAGCGCCGACGACAATTGTCCGGTGCGCAAAGCAGCACCTCCATGGAGAACAATGCCAGCGAGTCGAGTGCCAGCCTGTCGAGCATCGTGTCCAGCGTGAGTTGTAGCTCCAGCTTGTCCGCCCGCTGTGATTACTACGAAGACGCAGTGCGCAGTGCACTGGCCCAGCTGGGCGGCGGCAATGGGGCAGCCCAGGACAAGGAGCTCAAGGAAGACGACCAATTGCTGGACAGCGGCGATGAAACAAACTGAGTGACATACACTTATCGGATGTTAAAAACGTGTCCATAGTAAAGTGTAAATCATTTCCAGCAGTCGTTCGTTTTTCTTTTTTTGTAAAAGCGCGATAAATGATGTTAATCGCAATGAAAGTAAAATTCACCATTAAATACAACCGAAAAAGAAAACAAATTGGCTTAGTACAAGCATTTGTTAATGCACATATAGTATATCTCTACACACACACACACACACCTATATACACACATATGTACATATATTAACGTGCATTTGTTGTTGTTTGTGCAATAAAACATTTTAATGTGCGTTTAATGTCGCGCTTGTTTTCATGCTTAAAAAAGTGGAACCGTCTCTCTCTCTGGTCAGTCGGCCGCTTATCAAATCAAAATGATCTCATTCATAATATTTTTATTATAATTAAAACAAAAAAAAAACAAAAGTAAAATTAACTTAAATAACCGCACACTCGCAGCCCGAAGAAAGTTTCGGCTGATTGGAAGTGAAATGTGCGCTACAATCCAAAAGTTTTTTTTTTTTTTTTAAATAAATTTTCTAGGCTAATAGATATAACTATTTAAAACATATGAAACTGAAAAGCGGAATCTGTGTCAATATTAGAAACAAATAAGCTATGCACTTTAGACCTTAATTAAATTCTGTTTTCATAGCTTCTCATAACTGAGTCAACATTCTAATTAGCTCCTTTTTTTTGACAGTTGGCAATTATTTAAAAATTTCCAAATAAGTCTTACAATTATTTGCAAATATCCATAAATATATTTACATTCCATTTGCTTTAAATATAATTTAAATATATTTGTACTTCAAATTTTCTATCTATTTATTTAAAGTTGTATCTAGAAGTGGATCGAAAACCGAAATTAATTTTCAAATGTCGAATGAATTCTAAATAATCATTTAATGCATAGCTTACAAATTATTAACAAATTCAAAAAAAAGTGCAACTAACTGCCGCATCATTTGCCCCGCCTTGCCAGCCATAGACTTGTCTATCTATAACATCTGTATACCTATATAAACCTGTATATATACCGATATATATACCTAGATGTATGTAAGTGCCAACCACATTTCTATTATGTGTGGCGGGCAAATAATAATAATACAAACTGCAACTAGCCACATGCATAAAAGCCGCTAACATCTAACTAACTAATGACCGCACATATGATCCACATATCACACATTTTAAACACATTTTAGCCAGCTGCGTGCCCGGCTATCGGAGTCATAGAAACTATCTACAAATAAATAAACACAACGACAACCTGGAAATGGTCGCGAATTGAGACCAAACTGTCATAAAAATCAGTTAGTAACCGACAGCAGCAGCCCCCCCCACCCCCCTTCCCCCAACTGGCCATAAAATTTCGTTTTCATTTGGCGGCGCGATCTTTACTGGCCAGGTCCAACGTTGTGTGCTTTTAGTCGAAAAAGTTGTGTGAACGCGCACGGATCGGAAGTAATAGAACTTTACCTGGAACGGGAGTTACGACAAGAGCTCTATTTATTGTGATATACCATATACAAAATTTTTGAATAACCCAAGTGTTTTGCCCAGTGAAATAGCAATGCGATCGCTTTACCGATTATTCATATTTTATAATATATTTGCTCTTATCCGAACAGAAGCCGGTGAATTTGGTAGGTTTTCTTTAGTTCAGTTCTATCCAAGGGAATATTAAGAATTTTTTTTTACTTTAGTAGTTATCCTTGTAAGAAACTAAGATGCATGTGCTATATATTTAAGTTTATTAATATATATTTAAACTAATTCTTGGGTATTCAGCAAATAGAGAAAAAGATATTCGAATCATGCAAAATCCTTGTTATCATTTTATAACACATCCTTTATCCTTTATCAGGCATAAAATTAGATAGATATGAATCCTTAAAAATATTTTTACTGCTCCACAGAGAAATTAATTATTCCATCGTCCTATGCAAAAGCATCCAATGGGAATTCGAGTGCTTCCCACTCGGTGGCCGCTCGCTCCTACGCTGGTGGCCAGGGCACGAATACGGAGTGCTCCTTTGGCACCGAGTGCACGCCGCTGCACGACTGCACGGCAATGATCTATGAGGTGGCGAAGAACTGTTATTACGGCGACAAGTCGCTTTTTTGCGGCGGTGGCGAGGAGATGCCCTACGTGTGCTGCCCGAGCAGTCCACTGGAGAAGAATCAGGTGTGCGGCAAGTCGCTTGTGCAGGGACATTTCTACAAGGGACTCGGCTCGTATCCCTTTGTGGCTCGCGTGGGCTTTAAGCGTAAGTGAATATCAATCAATTAATTGATCGAAATCGGTTGTCTTTAAGTCGCCCATTGCAGACATAAGCACGGGCGCCTTTGCCTATCCGTGTGCAGGATCGATCATTGCCCGGCGTGTCATCCTGACCGCCGCCCATTGTGCGTTGGCCAAGGCCGATGGCCACCGGCTGTAAGTATGCCAATCGTTATGCTTGTGTCCATATATATATCTGTATGTATATGTGTATATCGCGGTGCATCTAAACTTTCGCCTGCAGCTCATCGGTGCGCGTTGGCGAGTATGACACCTCCAGTGATCCGGACTGCGCCAGCACTGGCTTCTGCGCACCACGGTCTGTGAATCATGCGATCAGCCATGTGATTGTGCATCCAGACTATAAGCAAGGCCAATATCATCATGACATTGCGCTGCTGGTGCTCAAAACACCGCTCAATTACTCGGGTAAGCGAGGGGAAAGGGAACAGGGATGGGCCGGGCCGGGCGACTCGGACTGGGGGCTGGTTACGCTTCGCAGTGTCAACGTTAATTAAAAATCGTTTTGCTCTGTGTTATTTTCGACTCGCACTCGCAGCCAAGTTCAATAATGTCAACTACGACTCTTATATATTGCATGTTTGCTAATTTGAGGTTAGGGCTCCATTTCCATTGCCCGCTCCGGGGAGGGGTTCCGGGGTTAACTTAATTGGCCAGCGACAAGCTCTGGTGTGTGTTTAGTCTAGCAAGTAATAGGCTAAACGCGGATCAACCGTTAGCCGGCTACCCAATATTAGTTTTCGATTTTAGACACACTTCAATAAGCTTGGACTTTGGATTAGCCTGGATTTGAGGTTAGGTTTTCGCTGCTTAAAATTCTTCAATTTTACAACAATTTTAAAGGACTACTTTACGTTTACTTTTTATTTATTTATTTATATTTATCATTATTTTCTTTTTTCTATAAAAAGAATTTTAAATTTCAATATGCCCCACAAAACTTTACGAATAAGATCACTATAAAATCTAAATAAGAAGACAATAGACAATTTTTCAATATTATAATCATCTATGAATTATTTTTTAAGTCAGTAATTAGGCTGGATTAAAATTGCCAAAGTCCAGAAATGTTAAATTACAGTTCTATAAAAGAATTTAAAAATTTTAATATGCTCTAGAAAACTTTATGAATATGATTACTATAAGATCTAAAAACAAAGGCAATAGATCTTTGGTTTTTTCAATACTATAATTATCTAACGATTGCAACATTTTAATACAATCCGAATATTGAACCTTTTTATTCCGATTCTTGAAATTTGTATTTTCGGAATGTTCTGTTTCATAAAATAATTTAATTTAGGTTTTACCTCTGAGTTGAGATTAGTTTGAATTGCAATTTCTTAACGAATACCAAGTATATGGAATCTTTAATTGATTTTTAAAAAAATGTTAGTTATACTTACATGTTTTCTTCTTACAATACTCCCATGATCTTCGACCCTCGCCCTGAAATTATAAGTCATATAATTCTCGTTTTGATAGTTGTGATTTGATATACTTGTTTTAAGTTCACGTTCGAGCGTCTTGTGCGAAAGGAATGCATCTTATGCGAACAGCCTTCGGATGTTTTCATCAAAATCATAAATTTAAATTGAATCTTAAAGCGTCAATATCATTGCGATCTGAACAAATAAGGGCCAGCAACGTCGAGGTGCAGGCAACTCGTAAACAGCACATTAGCTACGAAAATCAAAATACCGCAGCCATCAGGGGGCGTTACCTTAATTGTTGGCCAGCTTGTTTGCAGGTGGCTTTATGGCTTTATAATATTTTATAGGCGTACGTGAGCGTGAGGGCAATCAATAAGGCCAACGTTGCGAGCCGGAGACCAGCCTCCTTTTCCTTTAATGGCCGATACGTGTTTGCTGCATTCAAAGTCAAATTGCAACTGAACCGATTTGTTTTGTTTTTCTCTCCCCGTGCCCCGCTGCAGTGGCCACCCAGCCGATCTGTTTGCAGAAGACACGCGCCAATTTGGTGGTGGGCAAGCGGGCGACCATTGCCGGCTGGGGCAAGATGTCCACGTCGAGCATACGCCAGCCGGAGATGTCGCATCTGGACGTACCGCTGACCAGCTGGGATCTGTGCCTGCGCAACTATGGATCAACGGGCGCACTCGAATCGCCCAATTCAATTGAGGGCCAATGGATGTGCGCCGGCGGCGAGGGCAAGGATGTCTGTCAAGGCTTTGGCGGTGCGCCATTGTTCATCCAAGAGAACGGCATCTTCTCACAGGTATACTACCTGTCATTGACTGACTGACATCAATTCGTAGCTGATTGTATTTGTTGCAGATCGGCATCATGTCCTTTGGCTCAGACAACTGCGGCGGACTTCGCATACCCAGCGTATACACGAGCTTGGTCTACTTCCAGGAGTGGATACACGACAACACGCCACCGGAATAAGCCAGCATCCGTGTCCATCAGACATTTCCCTAACCTAAGCGTAAAACTTAAATGTACATCAATATATGGTATTTATATATGTATGTAGAATTGGTATATGTTTTATTTGGCAAAGTAACCTAAACTATTATTTTTCTGATATTCAAACGAGAGCGTGTTCATTTTATGTAAATTGATGGATGGGTTCACATGCGTCGGGCCATATATAACCTACACGCACACATATAATTTAATTGAATTAATTGAACTTTGACACGAGAAACGGGGCCTCCAAACAAATAAAGTTCTCATTCAGGAAAAAAATAATACGTTGCAGAGAAAACAGCTCACAATATTTGTATTTATATTTTCGCAACTTGAGTGAACTTTTACGGAATTTAATTGTACATTTTTATAAAAAAAAACGACTTCCAAAACTATATTTGTCTACGTTCCAAGTCTTAGAGTCAATGCTCAATCAATTATTTCCGGAATTGTCCGGATCGGAGCTATTCGAACTAGATAGCCGTCATAGTTGTGTATGTTCAATCAGAAATAAAAACAATTTTTGATTTATGTAGCATTTTAGGAAAGCGCGCTTAAGTCTATAAAATATAATTTAAGAATTTTTAGATGGAAAATAAAATTTTTTATAATTTATTTTCATAATTCCCTGCTTTACTAATTAACCTGATACTTGTCCGAAATTTAACACACAATTTTTCATCTTTTTATTGCCTTTTACAAAGTTTTGCCCAGCTGGAAAATTGTTTTTGGCTTGAAGCCCTTTTTATTTGTCCATCTTTCATCTCTCTCGTTAACGTTAATAGCTTTTGGTCTCAGCTGCTTTGATGCATGGGAGTTGTCAGTCTTGATTTGTGTGCGTGTGCGTGTGTGTGTGTCATTTGTGTATGTGTGTGTGTGTGTGTGTGCAGGTCCCGTAATGTCGGTGCCATGTGGCTAATTGGAGTCAGCTGTTTTTATGAGCCAAGCGAATCAGCTGGCTGTTTGGCAGGAGCAACAAAAGCCAAGAACAGCAACCGGACAAATGGAAAGGCTGCAAGTGCACTGAGAGAAATTATAACCTTGAGCGAATACTTAATATAATTACATTCGATTTGTGCGCCATTATGTAAGAGCCGTCGGCACAGCTGCAGAGATGACAAATTAACTCTGTACGCTACTCAGTACGTGAGCGACATCGACGACAAATCAAACGCTTTAAATTAATTTACGGTCTGCCTTCGAATGCCGTAAGACACATGACAAAAGGCCCGCACATTCCGCAGGCACGACGCGCAGTGTACCGGGTGCGCGGGGAGGCACTAAATAAAAAATCAATTTGATGGCTCGCACAGATCGTTACGTTCCGGGCTCCACGACAGCCCAGACTCTTTGGCTTCCGCTGGCCAACACAGTCGGCAATTGGTCGTCGAGCCGTCGAGATCGTCGCGAATTCGTCTCTGAAACTTGTCGAGCGTTACACTTGAAATTCAAAGTCACAGTTTCTTTTATTATCAATATAATAAAAATTATGATCGAGCTGAATGTTAAATAAATATAAATGAATTCTTTCAACTTAAACATATAGTGCGTACAAAATTAAATATAACTAAAGTTTTAAATGCTATTTCAAGGTATTGCGAAAACCTTTGAGTTTTGGTATAAATATTTAGTTTCCAAAGAATCTTTTTGCTCCTGTGATGATGGCAATCTGAAATAATGCAAATCCAAATATTTAAAAATTTGTTAAACTTTCAAGTGGCATATAATAAATTATACATTTTATGTAAAGACGCCCGTTTATAAAAAAAAGGGAAAAAACAAATTTTTTATATTTTGTTTTTTTTTAGTGAAAAAGTGTTTTACAACATTAAGATTTTGTTAAATTCAATATTGTTTGATCAATGTAATTCTATTGATCTTAGATCAAATTAATTAAATCACCATATTTAATTTTGTAAATAATACGATCTTCTATATTTTTAGGCATATGAATATAATTAATTATGGATCTAGGTCCATTTGCTTGATTTTCTGAATAGACACAACCGGAAACAGGACGCATTGAAACGTGTTAAAAGCTAATTAGTGCTACGAGTTTTATTAATATTGTTTCTCACATTAAATGTTTATTCTGAAAGCGTTCAATTTATGATTTCGGTGATTTAAAAATTCCTTCAGTATTGCATAAGTTTCATCTCCAAAATTATCCAACTAAAATTTGGGCTCTGAAATAAGTGGCAACCTTACCAATGGAAAGACTCGGCACTTAATGTACAGCAATAATGAAATCAGATCAATTCGTGGCTCACCCTTGAGCACATCATTTTAAATAAAATCGGCGCCCTGATTTTAGGACGAGCTCCAACAAATGTTTTAACTGTGTCAGTGTGTGTGTGTGATTGTTCGTGCGATTTTTTAGACAACTAAGCGAGAAAAAAAAGTGAGCAAAAATTAGCTGAAACCCTTTGTGCGATTTACGTTGGAGATAGTGTGGAAAATATCAGGGTATGAAACTCATAAATTGAGGCTAATCGGGAATTCGGGGGATCGATCGCAAAGGCATCGCGCTAATTAGGCAAACTGTGCTAAAGAGCAAGAGAAACTGCAAGCGTGCACTAACTGTAAAATACACCATATAAACAAACCTGATGATAGAGCAGAAAGCTGAGCAATGTTGAAAAGACGGCGAAGTAAACAGCAGCAACAACAACAAGAACAACAGTCTCAGCAACAACCACAACAACAAGAAGAACAACAGTCTCAGCAACAATTATAAGCACGCACAAGTATCAGACAATTGGCAACATGTTGCCGAACCTTGGGCACATGCTGCTAGTGCTTGCTGCCATCCCCGTCTTGGCCATGGGATCGACGCTACCCAATAAGACGGCCGAGTTCAAGGAGTGCACCAGCATTGACATACGCAACGAGTGCAGCAAAATGAGTCTATTAGACAACTGTACAGTTGTTACTGGCTATGTGATGATAACGCTGATACCCAGTCAAAAATGCAATTATAGCGCTTATTCGTTTCCCAAATTGCGCGAGATCACGGACTTTATGATATTTACTGAAGTGCGCAACTTGACTGGCATCAGGCATATGTTTCCCAATCTTACTGTGATACGCGGCCGTAGGCTGTTCCTTAATTATGCCCTGGGCGTGACCAGCATGCCTGATCTACAGCTGGTAAGTGGACACGGACACAACGAAGATTACAATACATTCCTCATCCAAGCGGGGTGGAGATTAAGAAAAGTGTGAAACTATTTTGTTTACACCCGATCGGCCTAAAACTCATTTTCAAAGATCTTTGTTCAAATTCATTTGAGGGGCGATTCACACTTTTCGGAAAATCCACTCCTCTTTGGTATAAATGGCCAAAGATTTGAGGAATAAAGTTCATTTTCAAAGACTTTATGGAAAATCATTTAAGACATGTTTACACCCGAGCAAGGCTCGGGAATACCTGCTAATAGAGAATAAACATTTTTGTTAATTTCCATTTGCCAATTTCAGCTGGAATTTAAATCGCTAGTGGCCATTCAACGCGGACACGTCTACATCGGTAGCTGCCCCAAGCTTTGTCAACTGGAAAGAGTAAGTAGTTCTGACTGGCCACTTGATATGCTCACTCAGCTATTGCTTTGCAGGTCAATTGGGATCGACTCACATTGAGCGCCGGGGAGAATCACATCGTGCTTGGATCCAACAACTGCACACAACGCGCCACCTGCAATGGCTGTCCATCCAAGTATTGCTGGTCAAATATTACGTGCCAGAGCTTTGAGAATGATAATGTGGTGCATCATGATCGGTGGGCATATGAATTTACTTTTCGATTTAATAGCTATACTCCATACCCATTGGTTGTTAATTTAGTAGTGACTTGTGCTCATCACTATCTTTTATCTGTTACCTGTTTTAAAAACGAATTCATTAATTCGACAGTAGCTACGAACTTCGATAACAGTTTTGACCCTTTAGAAACTAGCATGTTTATTTATATACCCTGAACCCATTTAAATTGGGTAAAAAGGCTATAATGTATTTGTGCAGAATGTATGTAACAGGCAGAAGGAAGCATCTCCGACCCCACAAAAGTTTATATATTCTTGATCAGCATCAACAGCCAAGTCGATCCGTCCGTCCGTCCGTAGGTATGAACACAAGGATATTAGAATCTATAAGAGCTAGAGGCTTGAAATTTAGACCGTAGGTCCTCCTAGTGCCCGCGCAGTACGAGTTTGTTTCTGATAATCGATAACGTGCCCCTTTTCCTAGTAATCGATCAAAATCGATATCGAAATCGTGTTTTTTGAGCAAATATCTCTAGGTTTTAAGAGCTAGAGTCACCAAACTTGACATGTAGCTTCTAAAATAGTATATATATATATATCTTTAATTTTATAGCTATCGCCAACATTCCCTTATCAGCACATAGCTACAAATCAACATTTCATTAAGACCGGTTAAGAAACACAAAAGTTATTAAAAACAATGTGTTTTGGCTGCCCACATGGTTGGGGCAGCTAGCCCCAGCTTCACACATTCATACATGTCTCTATTGAATTCTATCAACAGCATGGCAATTGCGATTGTGTTGTTTTCAATGCTGCTATTTTAATCTCTCCCTCGAGACCTATCAAGGAAATCGTTTTTTTTTTTTAAATTTATTCTTATTCTGCTGAAGCATGAATTGGTGTTGGTAGAGGAGGGTTTAGGGTTCTCCCTAGTCGGTAGCTCCCGACTAGAGGCTCTTACTTGTTAAATAGAGTATATTCAGTTTTTTTTCAGAGCTTACCGAATTAGGTTTTTTTTTCTTGTAATTTTAACACTCAAATATTAGTCTGAGCTTAGAGGCAGCATTTGAAGAAGATATACTAAGTAGCTCTACAAAAGAAGCATTTTGTAGTGAATCACAAATTTAATTGGATTTTTTTTGCTTTATCCCCTTGTTCCGCAGAAACTTAGACGACTGCCACGAGGAGTGCCTGGGTGGCTGCTACAATTCCTCGGCCGCGGGCTGTTTTGTCTGTCGCGGACTAACCAATGCCGGGGTTTGCGTAAAACGTTGCCCGCCCGACAAGTGAGTGAGGGGCTGAGCCACGCCGGCTTGGCGTCTTGTTGATTGCCACTTAGAGTTAGTCCGTTTGCAGGTATGTGCTGGAGCAGTATCAACGCTGTTACACCCGTGACGAGTGTGTGGCCCACCATGGGCACTTTACGTTTGGCTTTGAGTGCGTCGCCTTCTGCCCGAGTGGCCACAAGGCCGATGCCAAGTCGGAATGCGTGCGCTGCGATCCGCTGGAGCCTTGCGTGAGCGTCTGTTCTGCAGAGCAATCCGATGGCATGATTGCCATATACAATTTGGCCGATGCGGAGGATCTGCGCGGCTGCCAGATTGTCAACGGCAGCCTCATCATCACCATACGCAATCAAGTCAATGAGGAGCAGCTGGAGCGCAGTTTTAGCAGTATACGTGAGATACGTGGACACCTCAAGATCTACCGGTGCGTGTTCCGTCAAAGCAGAATAGGCGTATTCAATCTAATGTTTATTTAATCATTAGATCCTCGCAGCTGAGTAGCCTGAAGTTCCTTAGCAATTTGCGCCTCATACACGGCGATCCGCTAGAGAATCGACACTACGCATTTATACTG